AAAATTCCAAAAATGAACAATTCATAAGTTTTAAATTTCGAGCCATTCTGAGTAGCATAATGAAATCTCTCTTGGTCCTCTGCATCCCACCGAGGAGGTGAATCACCTCTTTGTCCCGCGTATCCACGCTGTGTACAACACCCACCCCTTAGTTACTTAGCAGCTGTCTCGGTTATCAGATCAACTGTGTGGTATTGCAACGCGTGTGTTCAAGGTTAATGGTAGCCTAACGCTACATCACGATGCCTATGTCACTACCCATGTTAACTCATCACCTAGCATTTTATCATCTTACATCATCTTAAGAAGGGTGAGTATAGTACAGTAAGATATTTTGTGAGAGAGAGATACTACATTCACATAACTTCTATTACAGTCTATTGTTATAATTGTTCTATTTTATTATTTTTATTAATCTCTTACTGCACCTGCTTTATAAATAAAACTTTATCATAGATATGTATATATAGGGGAAAAAACATAGTATATATAGGTTTGGTACTATCTGAGGATTCAGGCATCCACTGGGGGTTTTGGAATGTATTCCCTGGGATAAGGGAGGGCTGCTGCACCATAATGGCAACTTAAGAGAACTGGTGACTAGTTATTAACAGCACAAAAGATACCTTGTTTGTAATTTTTTGAGTATTTGAAAATATGTTTGAATTAACTGCCTGTCATAGTGAATAATGGAACCATGAGTGTATGCTTCATGTACGTGGAATAGATTATTGCTATCAAAAGCTGCAAACTCCATGTCATGTGAATAATAGTCACATTCACACCTTCCTCCCCATCCCCCTCTTTTAAATGTTTTCCTCGTTGACTTTTACTTGAATTTTTAGTCAACCTCACAAATGATATAGGAAGTACTCTGTAAGCTTTCAGGATACTTCAGTATGCATATAAAGTATGCAGCCTCCATTTAAGTAACCAGATATATCTCTGTTCACATAATAGAAGTCTGCCCTGCCCCTTAGGCTCCCTTCCAGGCCTTACCCCCCACCCTGTTCCTCTGCCACACTTTGGGGGTGCACTCTATTTGTGCCAGTGATTTGAATGACAGCTAAGGGAGGCCCACCCTTTAAAAACACACATACACGCGCACACACACACACACACACATACACACACACACACACTCTCACACCCATACTTATGTATCTTTTATAAAAGCAGAAACCGTTTAAATAGGCAAATGCTAAGGAACTGATGCCTCTCTGAAAAGACATCTGGAATAAAAGCATGTTAGGTTAGAAAAGCCTTACTTAATCATCTATTTCAACCTTGTCCTCCCTTTGAAGACTTCTATCAGGGACTCACTGGCTCATAGGACAACCTATTACATATTTGGAACATATTATTATAGAAATGCATTAGACTGGAGTTCAGCTATCTCTGGTTTCTACCCTCAGCCTCTGATTTTTAATGAAGTATTTTCTCAACTATTATATGCCATCTTTTCTAGATACCAGGTCCTTGTTTTTTACATGAATATTAGGTTGCTACCCAGAGCTGAAATATTAATCTCAGGATTATATAACCAGACTAGAAGACCAAAAAACAGTTATCTTTTTTGATATAGATTCTAAATGCTGTGCTTGTATTGTTGGCAGGCATGCCACATAGCTGATTCACACGGAGCCTGTTTAAGTCCATAATTTTCTTTTTGTGAGGTAAGCCACAATTAAACCAGGTCCACCTACTTTCTTCCTTATGCCTTGACTCTTTGAACTTGCATGATGCAGAACTTCACGTATATTTCATCTTATTACTAGTTCTTCCACATCTTTTAGAATTCTTTCATGAGCAGCATTGAATGAATGCCTGTGCTAGGTGCTGGGGGTATAAAGATGAAAACGACATAGGTCCTAAGTCATCCTCTGGGAGATGTTCATGGCTGCGCTGGAGCTCAGCACACAGGGCCTTGGCTACCCAGGGCGCCGTTGGAGACAGCTTCCTTTTTTGTGTTAACACTCAATGCCAGACATTAATCATGGTACAAATGTTAAATAGATTATCTTTTTTTTTCTTGCTATCCCAATTTTCTTAAAGCTTCCTTTATATCCATTAGCTATTTCTAGAGTTTTATGTCCTTCCTAACTTTGAGAAATATGCCTTCTATGATCCATATAGGACATTCCTTAAGTTGTGGAACAAAACAAAGTCAAACACAGGCCTGCCTGCCTTAGGTCGACATCCAAGGTGACATTGTTCCCCTCCTGTGGTTTATCAAGATGATTTTCAGTCCTAAGGAAATGAAATTTTACTGAATTGTGTCCTTTAGATAATATATTTTTTTTCTTCTACTTTTTTCACTTAAGAGAAATCTCATGACGTAATGTTGTAATACAAACTTTTGCAAAACTCATTTTAATGGCTGTGTAGGGGAAGACTAACTCCCATAGATTCTTAGTTGGAATGGATGCTGTGTTCGCCATGTTCTCAAATTATCAAGAGAAAATTGAACAGAAGTTTATTAACATGTATATTTCAAATATACATGGGAGACACAGTCAATGAGTGGTTTTCAAAGAGGTGACTTTGAATTGCAGCTTATATAGCATCTTCAATGAAGAACAGGAAATTTTTAGAGCAGTGACAAGACAAAGGAAAAAGACTTTTGAGTCTCTAGGGACAGCAACTTGGAGGAAGGCAAATAACTAGCAGATAATGGCTAGTTAGCGAAGCTGGTTAATGTATATTCCTCTGGTACCATCCTAGGCCCAAAAGGTTCTACAGTTGTCTTTGGTGGTTAATAGTGGTTAACTTGTATTCTCCCTGCATCGGGGAGAGGCATCATCCCCTTTGTGTTTGTAAATCATGTCCTGCCTTTAGACAGATAGAGGGAAGGCAGAGAGCTCTCCTGCTGCTGCTTACCTGCCTTCGTATTTGGGGTGGCCTATTCTGGTCTCCCATAGCTGCATTGAGTGTATTTAGCATAAACTTAAATTTAACTTTCTCTTTATTGGATACTTAGGTTGTTTTTTCCCAGTATAGTGCAAATTCTACTATGGTGAGTGTTTTTATATGCAAAGCTTTTTCTGAATTTAGAATTTCTTTAGTTTAGATTTCAAGAAGTTCAATGACTGTGGAAAAATATAATACACTTATAAGGTTCTTGACATAAATTGACAATTGACACTTGCTTTCCAGTGAAGTTTCCCAGTACAATTTTCAATAGCTGACTACACATGTTAATCTTTATTTTGAAAATAGGGCTTTTAAAAATGTTTTTGATAATTCCCTTCTGTACTTTGTGTCTCTTATTTTTATTAAGCATGGATTTGAGAAACTTTATGTAGGAGGCTTTTGGGGGAAAATGTAAAGAAAAAACAAAAACTCTAGGAAAAAGGTCAGATGTTTTAAAAAGTTTTTTTATGAGGCTATGGTTTTTATTTAATCTGGTTAAAGCATTTTTTGCATGGGAACTCATTTAAAATTAAAGTTCCCAAGACAGTTTCATATGTAAACTTTTATTTGGAGCATGAACTGCTGAGCCTAGTTAGGCCGGCTGTGGTGTGGCGGATCGCGAGGCTGGGCGGCCCCGGGCGTCCGTGCCTGTGCTGCCGCACAGTGTCGGGAGCGTGAATTGCACTCATGTTTCCAGCTGCAGGCCAAATTTGAGCACCTGAAGAGAGTTCACCAAGAAGAGAGAATGAAGCTTGAAGAGAAGAGAAAAATTTTGGATGAAGAAATAATTGCCTTCTCTAAAAAGAAAGCTACCTGTGAGATATTCCAGACCCAGGCCTTTCTGGCAAGCGGTAGCAACCTGAGGAAAGACAAGGACCGAAAGAAGTAAGCATCCCCAGCCACCCTGCCCCGCTGCCCCATCCGTGTCTGTCTCCTGGCCCTGTTGGGTCTCCCTGCGCTGCTCTCTGTCTCACTTGCTCCTCTTCCACCTCCTGCACCTAAATGCCAGCTCCTGGAGAGCAGACGCCTGTCCTCTCGTGCACTGCAGCTTCTCCAGCGCCTAGAGCAGCATCTGCACAGATCACATGCTCAGTAAATAGGTGCCAAAGTGAATGAACGAGTGAACAAAATTAAAATACATCGTAATGTAAAAAGGATCAGTTAACTGGGGAAAGAAATTGGCTGCTCTTATTTCATAGCCCACCCCTGGCCCTAGTGCACAGCTAGTGTCTGCTGACCTCCCGTGAGTTATTTTGAATTTCATGTCTAAATGGAAGCTGAGCACTTTATTGGGGAAACATAGACATAAAATATAGCACTTTATTTAAAAAACCCTAATTCTTAGGCTCACTTTTTTTTTTTTTTTTTTTTACAAATTCTACTGATACTGATTTTGTGAGAATTTTTATTTTAATAAGGGAACCGGGCTATCGATTCGAACTCCTGTGCATTGATGTCAGAACTTCTGAAACCAATTGTGGACGCAAAGATGCAGAGGAAGGTAGAGAGGGCCACAGTGCCAAGGGGCGCCATGAATAGCATTGGATGGTAATCTGAAGGCTTGTAGGTTTGGGGTATGTGTTAAAATCAGTTACCACAGTTTTGGAAAATAAGTTTTTTTTCCTTTTTGAGCATTTCCTTCTCTACTTTGTGTTCCTCATTTTATTTCTCCCACTTGAAATGTCCTTGTCAGTTTTAACTATTTGACTGTTGTTGAAATTCACCATGACCTGTTCTGTTCAGAATGGGCCTCTGTGGGTCTCTGCCTTGGTTCACTTCAGCTACCTCTGTGTTAGCCGCACCATGCCCTCCTGTGTCCCTCACAGAGCAGCACTTCTTCTGGTTTAATTTTCTCACTGCATCTATTTGAAACTCAGCATTTTCAGAATATTATAACTCAACTTCAGATTATTTAGGAAAACATAATTTGGCCCATGGTCACTTTCCATTTTTTAAATGTAGAGAAGTAAATCCGTAGATTTTGGTGGATTTAACCGGCCTATAGATTTTATAATTTTTTGGGAAAAAAAGAATGGATTCTCATGTATGATCTTTTAATGTAAGCTCTACAGGGCATGGATCTTTATTTTGTTAATTGATGTATCCATTCCCAGAGCCTAGACCAGTGCCTGGTACATAGTAGGCATGCAATTATTTGTTGAAAAATAAATATGATAGTATAATAGCTATATTTTGTTAAAGCATTGAATCTCAAAAGGTAAACTATAAATATAATTTATTACTGCTTTTCAACATGCTTTGTATTGTAAAGCTAAGGGATCCTTAACCTTCTTATCCAGTGTTACTAGAATTACATTTCCAATTTTTTTCCACATATGAAGGACAATTTATATTTACCCTATAAAAATTATCACCCTGTTCCACTTGAGAACCATGCTGTTGTTCACAAAATCAGGACCAAGCCTATAGTTTTTTGAGTTTTTCAAGACAATATGATTTGGTGTTTTGGGATTTTTTTTTTTTCTTTTTCAAAGTCCTATAACTAGATATCCTATAATGTATTACATGTATATTTGCTCATTTCTAGCTCCTATATGTTTTTTTATTTTACCAATCAAAAGGTTTTTCTTTCTTTCCAGCTCCAATTTCATGTAAAACAGAAGTTCCAGAGCACAGAAGGTCATCACAAGCAAAAGTTATTAAAAAAGCAGAAGCGTGCTTTGATTTTCTTGCCATTTTTATTTGCTTTATCACTTACTTTATATCTCTAAATGGCCACAGTTACTAACACTTATGGAAAAATCCTTTTAAATATAAGGTCAATACAGAGTGGATGATATTATAGGTTGCACATCCCTAATCTGAAATATGAAATGTTCCAAAATACAAAAGTTTTCAACCGCATGACATCGCAAGTGGAAAACTCTACACCGGACACCTTTGCTTTCTGATAGATTGTTGTATACAAACTTTGTTTCATGTACAAAATTATTAAAAATATTATATAAAATTACCTTCTAGCTATGTAGACAAGATGTATGCAAAACATAAATGAATTTTGTGTTTCCACTTGGGTCCCCTTATGTATATGCAGATATTCCACAATCTGAAATCTGAAATAAACTCCTGGTCCCAAGCATTTTGGATAAGGGATAATCAACCTGTATTTCAACCTGTACAACAACCTTCACTGTTGTTAGAAACTTTTAAGTTGTCATTTTGCTATGAATCTAGGTCTTTTTTCCTGTTGCCAAGTTATTGTCACTTTGCAGTGCATTATACCAAAGAGCAAAGTCTCAGTGCCATTGAAAATACAGAACTCTTTAATATTATGGCTATCTGATTGCATTTATGTTCTAGATGAACCTTTTTTTGTATATTCTTTAAAAACAAAAGCTTTGGGAATGTTTAGGAATGTAATTTAGAGTTAAAACTCTACTCTTTCAATAGTTATATAGAACTTTTAAATTTTTGATACAATTATCCAAATGGTAATATGATCCTAAGCTTTTGTGTCAAATTATATAATGATAACTTTTCATGCTTCAGTATGCCTTATTGAAGCTGATATATTGCTGAGATGAAACAAATGTTTAAAAGTAAAAACATGCAGGCATATAAACCCTTTTGATAAAGTACCTTTGAACCTGGCTGTATCACTATTTTCATTAGGATGTGTTATATACTTGTTTAAAACTCTGTCTTTCAGGGAAAATTAATAAGGAATCATTTCATTAAAACTATTTTTTAAGAAAACATTATGAACATCTGAATATTAAAGATATAAAAGTTTAGATAATTCATATTTCAAGGGATATTTGCATTCAGTGCCTTAGTATTCTGAGAACATTTTAATGGTTTCTAACATTTTCTTAACAGTCATAAGTATATAAATTTTCATTTTTTGTACTTGAATATTCAAATGAAACTGACATTTGCATTTGACAAATAAAATATATTTACATATTTACTAAAACATGCTTAAATTAATTTTTCTTTTTGCAAACTGTCATTTTAAGAAACATTTTAGCAAAATTAATTCACTTAATAATATATTTGAATTATTGTAAGATGAGGAGGTAGTTTACCTGCATCTTCAGACAACAGAAAGTTGTCTGAAACTTAGTCTATGTCAGGTTCTGAATAAAACCTTTCATTTCATAGCACAATGTTATCTGTACAAACACTTTAAATTTCATTTTTCCATTTAAAATTCACGAATATCTCTCAGCCTTTTAAAACCTTAGTAAATTAAATTATAAATGTCACAGAATAAGCTCTGAAATTTCTTCTGAAGATCAGCAGCACCCAGGCTCTGGTAGGTGGGGAGCCCCTGAGGGTAGGGCACCAACCTATGTACAGAGCCGGCCAGCCCACAGTGCTTGGTGCCGGCGGGCACACCCTCCTGGAGGAGCTCGTGGCATTTATGGCAGTGCTTGTTGTATGTGGCTATGTTAGACCAAGTTATATATAAAGCAGCTCTACTTAACTCTAATAAGTTTGCATGGTAAACAAAGTTATTTAAATTTCTAGTTGAAGAGAACTTAAAGGAAACCTGTCTAAGACTCAACTCAACAGCAGGGCAATCATTTTGTACTTTGGATGACTCTTTTGTGAGAAAGGCTCACTCCTGCTTCAACCATGATGGAATTTTTTATTTCATGTATTTGGGATTCCACATAAGATTTTATCTTAAAAGAGTTGCACTACAAAAAATTTAAAACAATTATACTAGAAAGTTCAAGTTCTTTTTAAATATATCATAAAGCTAATTTATTCTCTGCTATAAGGTACAAGGTTAGAAAATGAGTTATTATGCACTGGTGCTTAAATTAATAAATTTCCTGGGAACAAAACAGTCATATTTTGTTTAAAAATTTTTCCATTAAACATACGAAACAATTGCATCTGACTAATAGCCATTAATCTTTGTACATGCTCCTCTGATGTTTAAAGCTCTTTCACAGACTGATTTGGGCTTCAAAACAACACAAAGGAAGAAGCATCACAGGGATTATTATTATCCCTATTTTGCAGATGAACTCAGTTTAGGCCCCATTTTCCTGTTGGGCTAGGAAATGGGGACAGAAACATGATTTGGGCTATCCATGCCATCCTGGGACAGCCAGACCAGTGAGGACAGGTGAGCAGATACTCTCAAAAGGGCGCCTGTCTCTACCCACAGAGTGCAGGAGCAAATCCAGGGGAGCTACTGAGCCTTGAGGTATTGGAGCAACTTGTCCTATGTATGAAAGGAGCAGGTAGTCCAGGGACAAGAGACAGCACGTTGTCCATAAGACGTGTGTGCACTGGAAAGTAGCTGAGGACCGGCAGAGTCCAGGGGAGGAGTAGTGTGCTGGTAACGGTGAGGTTTCGGGAGCAGGTAGGACTAGGTCGAAGAGAGTCCATAAACCCAGTCCGGCAGGCAGTAGGAGACACGGAAAGGTTTGACCTTAACAAGGTCAGGTATTCCTCCAGAGTTCATGGGAAAGTGATATTGGGGGATGGGGAGGCAGACCAACTCTTGAGAGAGACACAAAAGAGTCACCTAAGGAGTGTTTAAAAAATTCTGATGCAGAAAGGAATGTATAATGATGAAGATGGCAGCTGTATTGGTAAATCCAAATGAATAATGACTGCATAAAACAATTATACTGTCGAGTTGAAAATACAGAGCAAATTAAAATACAAGACAATAGTGGCATAAAAGTTGAGGGTGGAGTAAATTGCAGGATATCATGTTATTGCATGAACTGGGAAGAGAATAAAAGTCCCAGTCAACCAGTTAAATCAAAGGTGCATGTCAAAGTCTCTGTAAGTGTAAATTCCAGGCTAATAGAAGGAACACTGATCTAACAAAAAATGATAAGAAGAAGGCAAGAAAGTAGAAGAAATTGAACAGGTATGAGGAACAGAAAGCATGTAGTAATGTGGTAGATTTAGACCTAAATATATCAGTAATTACTTGGATGACATGCTCTAATGTTTTTAGATAAACATTTTCTGACAAGCTGTATGCTTTATGCAGTGTAGCTATATACAGTTTACAAGAGAACAAGACTAAAACTGTCTTTGTAGACAGAGAAAGATTAAAAGAAGATGGGAAAAGACACATCATGTAAACTCTACCCGAAAGCTAATGTGTATCTCTGTATTTTCTATATATTAAAACAACTTTAAGGCAAAAGGCATTGCTGGGGTTAAAGAGGGACACTTACAAGAGAATAAATAATAATTGTCAATTCTAAATTCCTATGTACAAATTAATAGCCTGGGAACACATGGAGGGACATGCAAATCCACACTTAGTGTGAGATCTTAACATACTTTTTGTGTAGGATAGAACAAGCAGACTCAATATTTGTGCAGATAAGGAAAACTTGAAGAAATCATGTAACAGCCTTGGCCTTACAAGCACAGATGGAACAATGCACCCAGAACGGCAGAATACAGTTTTTAAGTACACTTGGAACATTGATAAAAATCACCTGTATGTTCGACTATAAAGGAAGGCTCAATATCTTTTAAAGGAATTAAGTCATACAGATTACGTTAGTTGATTGAAGTCTGTGGTAAGCACTGAACGTGAAGTGTGTAAATTCCAGGCTAACAGAAGGAAAATGGGCCTAACAAAAAATGATAATCAGAAGAAGGCAAGAAAGTAAAGGAAATAGAACAGGTACAATGAAGAGAAAGCACGTAGTAATACGGTTGATTTAGACCCAAATATATCAGTAATTAAGGGAACTGGTTCTGCTTAGTATGCCATACAGCCTAGCAATCTCAGTCCTATAAATGTACTCAAGAGAAGCAAAAACATTTGTTTAGACAAGGACCTGTCTAAATGTTGATAGTAGCTTTTTCATAATCTGCCAAAACCCCAAACAACCCAAATGTCCATCAACTGGTGAGTGCACAACTTGTAGTTCACACATACAATGCAAAGGAACAAGCTATAATCCATGAAAAAACATGTAAATACCAAACGTATTATACTAAGTCAAGCCAGATGTAAAAGGCTACGTGCCTCCATTTATGTGACCATTTTTTCAAAGCAAAAGTACAGGGACAGAGGTCAGCTGTGGTTGCCAGGCCTGCCTTGCTGACTTCACAGTACACTACGAAACCTATGGAGTGGTGGCAGCTACTCCCTGTCTTTGCTGTGGTGGTGGGTACATGGCTGCATACGTTTGTAAAAACTCAAAGAACTGTACACCTAAAATATTGTTTACTATATGTAAATTATACCTCAATAAACCTCATTTTTTCTTAAAAAGAGGCAAAAGCAGTGACAATGAAAGATGGTATCATCACTACAGATCCAGCAGACGTTAAGACTTTGTCAAAAAATTTGAAAATACAGAGGAAATGGCAAATTCATTTAAAAACTTAACTTACTGATGTAAGAATTAATGGAAAATCTCATAACAAACAACAGTCCGTAATTAAAATCCCTGTGGAGGTTAGGCTGAGATAACAGGAAGCCTGTGAGACATTTAAAGCTGAAAGCCAGTCTTTCACAGCTTGTCCTGAGGTCGGTGACATCCATGCCCTTATCCCGGGACTGTGAATATGTTACCTTACCTGGCAAAAGGGACTTTGCAGATGCGGTTAAGGGTACAGACCTGGAGAAGATTCCTGGCCTGTCTACGTGGTTAGGGCTGTGAGAACAGGGAGCGGGAGGCCCTGCTGCTTTGAGCTTCGAGG